ATGAATGACGCCTAAAAGATTCGGTAAAATTTCCGCACAACCCCATACTACATCATGCATTCAGTTCTTGGATAGAGAAAAAAATGACAAAAACAATAAATTGCCATTAGGAAAACAGATTTGTTTTACAACAGTATGGGGCTGTGCGGAAATTTTACCAAAGATTCTACTAATTAATGTAGAAGGGACTATTTTCATGATAGCAGAACACAATAATACGAACAGAAATTTATGTGAGACAAGGTATAAACTAATAATTGTTTAGTTTTGATGATTGAAATTGTAGGTAGCTCACTGCTGAGCATGTAACAGCTGGGACGTAAGAATGATTGTTCCTCGATTGACTGAAATCTTACAGCTTTTTCTTAACCCATACATCACATGTTTAGCGAGAAATAGCTTACTCACTTACTACTACAAAAATTGCATTGAGCTTCGAAGAGCCGTCTTTAATGTTGTCTACAAAAAAAAATGATGTATGGAGCATTCTTCTCATAAAATTCAACATGCGACGCAATATTTGAAAGTAAAACAAGATCATAGTTACGTCTGATGTTCAAATCCAAGGAAACTACGTCGGATGGTAAATGATTGCTGACGCTTCTTTCCTGACCCTGAAAACTGCCCCAGAACAAACACAGCGACGCTAGGCTTGGTAAAGAAGATTGGAATCAAGTCTTTATGAGATACGTTGTGTAAGGTAAACGGAAATGTTTCAGTAATTATGGCTTACGATTTCGCAAGGATAGCTTTTGCATCAGCCGAAAACTACGAGAATGTTAGATCAGAGTACCCTGAAGAAGCGGTCAAGTACTTTTTACACAAACTTGGTATAAAAGTTAATGACCGCACAGTCAGTTCGAAGGAAGCTCGCCCCTTCACAATCTTGGAAGTAGGTAGTGGGACAGGAAAATTCACTCGCGTGATGGTGAAAGTGTTGTCAGATAAGAATGTCAGGGTAATTGCGAGCGAGCCTTTGGAGAGCATGTGTGAGCAGTTTAAAGTAATGGTACCTAGAATGGATATCATCCAATGTGCTGCCGAATGTATACGTGAGTTAAAGCACAAAATTTTATCATTTTGTTATTTGAATATGAAAGCAATCTTCGTGGTAATGAACACTACTTGAGCAGTAATGAACACTACTTGAGCAGTAATGAAAATAAGGCCTGAATTAGGAAATATTACGACAGAAGAAGAAAATATCAAAGGCCAAAAAAACAAACAAACAAACTGAAAAAAGGGCATATGAGAAAAATGAGAACAAAATGTATAATTCAGAACAAAAGTAACGAATGGAATAAAGATTTACTTTCACCTCCCCACAAACCTCCCACCCTCACTCTTGACCCGTTCAGATGCATGCCATTGGGAAACAGTGGCTGTTCCGTTTTAATTAATTGCAAAATAGCTTTTTGGAAACTGAACGCAAAGGATGGTTATATTCAGACCTGTTACTACTACAATGAACTTACTTTCTTATGCTTGAATGTTAACAGCCCTCCCTGATGCCAGTGTGGATGTAGTTGTTGCTGCTCAAAGTTTTCACAGTAAATTGCTTTAGGTTCACAAACCGTGCAGCTTTGGAGGAGATTCACCGAGTTCTAGTTCCAAATGGGGCTTTTGGTACCCTATGGAAACTGTTAGACCTCTCTATACCATGGGCCAAACAACTTGGCCATGATTTGGACGTTTTAGACAAAGAAAGTTCATTAGTTTTTCCACATAAAGAAGAATGGAAAGAAGTTGTTGGCATGCTTGTAAAGAGTTTATTCAGTTTTCCACAAGAGTACATAGGGTTTGAGCACAGTTTAGAAGTAAGTTCTTGTAATCAAGCTTATCAACATTTTGCTTCCTATTCTGTTATTGCTGGAAACAGTGAAATTAAAAAGAAGGCTTTTAAAGAGTTTTTTGATGAGCTCATGAAAATGCATTTTAAGGAAAAAGGCAACCCATGTACTAAGATTCCATTTACAATATACATGTACTGATTTCACAAAGAAGTTTAAATTTCAAGAACTCACAAATGATATGCATAGTTTTTTATGAGTAGCACAATAGCATAATAACATTATTTAGAAATTCTTGTTGCTATTTAACAACATTGTAATTTTAAAATACATCAGTGAAAAAGAAATAGTTTAACTAATTTATCACTACTAAACATTATTTCTCTGAAAATGATGTGCTGAATCTAGGGAGTACTTTCTAGAGTCGGGGGATAGAATGTCCGAAAGAGAATGACACAAAGTTAAGAGATGAATAACCAACTAAATAATTTGAAGAGAAAACAGATCTGAAACATAATTTTTATTGATGAAAGTTTGAGAACCATATGTTGATACTGGAAATGCAGAGAGTAGTACGTATGGCAACACTTGCAATGTTCAAACTTTAAAACTTGATGTACAGGAGAGATGTTCACTAACATTGCTGTGTATTTTACATCACACCTGGCACATCCTTAATTTTTTTTTAATTATACCAGTTTACTTTTTTAATATGACATAAAGTCTATGGACAATCTCCATCTATTCCAAATACATTATATTGAGTAACAACACCAAAATGCCTCAAGAAAACTCTCTACCTCAAATTTAACTTGGGTTATGTATTGCATCAGAAACAGCAAAGTTCATTTAAGGGTTCTAGCTTTTTTTCCCACAAATTTCAAGATCCATAAGTGACAATTTAGAGATGATAAATACAATTCAGCTTGAGTACATCATTTTTGAAACAAGTGCTTTTAAATTTGTTCCTAAAAGGTTTTTTAATTCATATTTAACAAACACAACTTTATAGATTTTACAAATGACAAATAACATTTTAAAGTTTACTGTCATGTAATTTTACACAGACGACAAATGAAAATTATGTTGACAGACCTCACACTGTTGCCTTCTAGATGTCATTATTACTTTTCTTGGGGAAAGGCTCTAACAAAAGAGCCAATAATCTTCAGTAACATGCCAATAACTTGTACTAAAAAAAAAATGAGGTAGCCAACTTTTAAATTCTTTCTGTGGCACAAAAGTTAAAAAATCTCCTATCAATTGGAACTTTATCTCCTAGTATGTTGAATTCGTGGACACTGTGCTGCAGTTTAGTGCTAGTACAGTAAAAGGTCACACAGTAATATTTTCATTTCATTCCAAACATCCCGCCCAAGCCTGTAATACAGACTAACATGTCAAAGATAATTTAACAAAAATTCCTAAAAGAATTTCTTGGCAGCAGCCTCCTTTTGATTTTTGTATCCAATGTAACCAATCAGCATAATTAACTGGGCCACAATTAAAACCACAAAGTATCCTGGACCTATACACTGTGGCATGGGTGAGGGAGGGGGGCATTCTTTTTTCTCTTGACCACTCATCATCTGAAAAAGAAACATTGGTCAGGAGTGAGTCAGCATAATAAGTATTAGTGCTACAGAATTTTCTTTCTCCAAGGAAAATGATGTAATCTCAAGAAAACTTTTTTTAAATATGCTTGCTGGCTGAGACTGAGACCTTAACTTGTTTGCTCTTAGTGTCATGGATAGTTCAATTTCAGAATCTAAATATGAAATTATCTTAATTAATCTTGTGAGCAACTGACCTCTGCAATTTACAATTGAAAAAGGTTGTGGAGCTTTTTCCACAGAACCTCATGGTCAAGTAGATTGTTGTACCCTGACTTTTAAACAATGAAATTAACATCATATTTTTAAATCAAGAGGGCAGTGAAAAGGGCAAATCAAACAATGCTCCCCAAACAAAAATTACTTTAGTGAGGTTGTGTAAACAATCAGCAGTTGGAACTCTTACTTGTTGTTTAGTTGCCACACTATTGACTGAGTGTGTTAGTGATTCAATTGCATTCTGCATGTCACTAAGTTTAGAATTAACGCCAGCTGAGTCACCAACATCTCTTCTCTCCATATTACCTCCTTGACTCATTAAGTTGCTGTAAACAAAGAGATCACAAATCACTTGAAAATTTGCTGTTCCTAATTTAAGTCATGCACATTAAAACCTCTTTGAAAACTTTGAAAACTGAAATAGAATTATTAGATATGATTCAGCCTCTGTTGAGGACTATAATTATGTATTAACAACCCTTGCAGAGAGTCCTTGGGAAACCTAAGAAAATCTTCAGTCTTGACTCTGATAATGACTTCTGCTAAGGTTGTCAAAAAGTCAGTGGCAGTTACTGACAAAAGTCCTTCTCAGGACTTCCTTCACCTGGACAATCAGACTACACCGTCAAATATATAAAATTATTTGGTAAACTAGATTAATTTACATTACGGAATATGATCATCATTTGCTTGCTGCCATTGGAGGGTATTTTGATATTAGGTGTGATAAGATCAAAACCCAAGGAATCAATATGACCAATCACTACATGTGGAGGTGAGCATCAATGAGCTAGAGTGCACAAAGTAAAAAAAAAAAAAAACAAGGAAACTGCTTGAAACATGGAAAAACGTGTTTGAGTAACCCAGTCACACTTTGTTGAAGTCTTGAAACTGATTGAATGAGAGGGTGGCTCACATTTTTACAAGACCAATCAAAGCTCAACAAGGAGCAAAAGCAAAGCAATCTTGAATTACTTTTGTCAGCCAGAATTGTTCAAATTTCACACACAAATGTCTAAAGTGCTATTTGAACTACACTTACCTGATTTCTTGCAGCTTAGAACTGAGTTGCTGTTGCATATTTATTAGTGTGTTCACTTCTTGTCTATTGATGGTTTGGTCATGTCTAACCACTTGTCCAATCTGGTTATGATCTGTTGTTACCAATGTGTATAGTGTATTTACTTGTACTGTTAATTCACCAACTTTAGAGTGAAGGTTGCTGTGGAAGGAACATGAAAAACGCATATGATTTCCAGTTATTGTAAGAATATAAGAAACTTTAAGTAACCCAAGAACATTGTAAAGTATTGTTAGTAAGCATTTTGTTTCATGCTAGTAAGGTTGAACTACGCATTTTGATAGATCATGATAAACCGTTTTCTGTGGCTTTACAAACTATCTGCAATTCACCAAATATTGAATTAGAACAAGCTTCAAATGTGTTAAATGTTTAGTTTTGTGTCCAGAGTTTAATCATTCAAATACATAAAATTTTAAGATTTGTGTAGGTGGCATATGCAAGTGCTGATATTCTAACCATGCCATAGTTAACATACCATGGTATGGTATTCTTCATCAGTGGTAATCATATCATAAAACTGAATACAAGAATGGAACCCTTTTGTCTTAAAGATGACAATCATCTCTTTTCAATGGATCATAACACCATCATCCCTGTTTGAAAAGGATTTTCATTTTTCCTTTCATTACAAACAAATATGTATACTAACTGATTTTTATTGGCAAGAAGTATTTACTAGTACCTGATCATTTGATGAAGAGCATTTTGTCCTTCATATACCAAACGAACATCTCTTTCATAAGCACTCTCATACTAAAACCCAAAACTAACAGTTAGGCCACAAAAGAGATAAACAAAAAGTAACAAAAAATCAACTAGGCATCAACTAAAAAAAATCATTTACCAGCTACAGACAGACATAACTCAATTGAAAATTTCTCAGTTTGATTACTACAACTGAATAGTGAGTTTTTCTGAGCTGTTACTTGTGACAAGTAAGAAGCAAATAATTATGAAGTTTCTATGGTTAGGTTCTTCTCACATCAAAGGCAAATAATTCTCCAATATCAAATTTGTTGGTGATATCAGCAAGACTTGTTACCTCTGCTTCAGGTTTCTTGACTTTGTCAGGGTGAGCTGTCTTGTACCTGTAGAAATAAATGTAGAGCAGAGGTCAAGAGATGAATGCAGGCAATATTTCTCAACTCATTTACAGTAGGACTGAACAGCTTTATGTATATAGTAAGTATTTCCCTACTCCTCTCTTTGTTGCTCCAGTTTCTTTTGGTATTCTTCATACTGCTCTGCAAGCTTCTTTTGCTCTTCTTCACTCATTCCTGTTTCACCCTAGAAAAAGTAAAATAAAAGATGTTGTTTTACATCTTCTCATACTCATGTTCTTTTAGAATTACTACTAACAACAGTAACTATTAAAATAATAAGTTACACTCTATACTGAGACTCATGCAACAATTCAGCGGACCTAACAAGACATTTAAGGCCTTTCAGATTAGAAACAAGAATTTTCCACAGATTTTAAAAACCACTTGTTTGTAAGTCATAAAAACTTTAAAGTTAGAGTTAAGTACTAGATTATCTTAGCGACTCAAACAAATGAACACCACAGGAGTTTCTAAGTAACAGTTACCTGTGTGTCCTTAGGTGGAGTGAGTGAGTGGGTAATAAAAGAAAGAACATCATGGTCATCTAAGAACAAAAAATACCATGATCATGATATATATACAAAACAATATAACTGACGGTATAATTTAATAATGCATAAAGGTGGCTGGACATTTTGAGTTGACAACTGATCATGTTCTTTTTTTTTTTTAACAAATATCACCAGTTTCCCACTGCCTCTCAAATTTTGCAATGTTTGATACTGCTTTTACTGACCTGCTAAGCCACCTGTAGCTGCAGATACACCAAAGAAGCCATTTTTGGCCAGGCTTATGTTTTCAAGACGAGTGCAGAGCTCAAAGTCTTCAGGTTTAGGGGTCATTCCCATATGTACCCACACCTGAATGGGAGAACAAACATTACACTCTTCAAAATGGAACAAATGTAGACAATATGCTACATACACCACTATGGTAAAGAGTTCAGGTGAAATGAAATATTTGTTGATGAATAGAAAGTCTATTATGAAGGGTGAATAGGGCTGTAAGCTAGATAAATCTCCATACCATGGTTAGTGCAGTATGTTTTGTTAATACTTTTCCATTGGATTGCAATTTATCTATTGGATAGCCTTATCTGCCCTTTGAAAAACTGGACCTTGAATTATTAATAATAACACAAGCTTTTAAGAGTATCTTATCTAAGAATTTTCTGCACTAACCGTGAGCACATTCTCATAATAGCGTATTCTAAGTCTAACTGGGTTTGGTCGATTACGAAAATCTCGTAAGCAGCCACCTCGTTGAAGATCCTGTCCATCTCTGCAACAAAATGAAGAAAGAAAATTGATGTTACAACTGAACATGACTAGATTTTACAGATTTACTATCCTTTTGTCACATTATACTTAAACCATTGACAACTAACAGACCATCAGCACAAATTGAATCAAAAGTCACATAATTTAAATTGAAAGAAGACAACATATAGCATGATGATGTAATTTTCTAAGGTTAAAACAAGTTTAATGAGTATTTCACTAATTTAAGGGATATGGTAAAGTACCTAGCATTAAGGAGAACCCAAATCAAACTAGTCTAAAATCAATGTCCTTTGAAATTTGATTTCATCTGCCAAATAGATATCAAGTGTAAATGGAAGCAACCAAGAAATTTGGTTGATTGCTGGATTTTACAAGTAGAAACTTTGCATAGTCAATACATCTGCGGTCAATCTATTCCAAATCTAATTCTATTCATTTATCATAGATCCACCACAGTATTCATATTCCCATCTTTGTACTGTAACAACATACTGTTCAAATTTACGACAAAACAAAAATAACTTAGTCAAAAGGCTCCAAAGTATTTTAGATATGCATTCATTTGTTAATTAAGAAATAAAGATTATTCCATGAAAACTGAGCACAAACAATTTTTATTCACAAGTTGTGATGTATTGAAAAACAAACAAGTGAGGACAGCAAAAAAGTGAGTTTTTTTCATGCATCACAACAATGTTTTTGTTTTATACATACGAAGATTTTTTCTTATTGACCAACAAAGATTAGAAGCTAACAACTGTGAAAATACATCATTCAACCAATATGATACAAATGATAGTAGTTCACAGACTAAATCTCAGTATGTATGAAATGAAACTTTTCAGTAGAGGCCTAAAGTTTCTCCAAATTTCCCTTTGTTTACTGATCTAATATGTGTATATTAACAATGCTCATTATCTACAAAAAACATATTAATAAGTAAACTATTTTTAGATTATGGGTACATGAATCATGAAAATAATGTATTTACTAGTCACAACGTACTTGTTATGATCATAAATCTGATTTCCATCATTTAACATTACTGAAATGAATGGATTATTTCCCTAAAAAACAATAAAACATCAGTGAATAAAACAGAAAAGGGACACAGGACATATAGCTATGAACCAGTAACAAAAAAAAGCAAGTTTGTATTTCAGACCTGTATACTTTAAAATATTAGAATCTTACACAAAAAGAGTTTACCAAAAGTAAGATCTTTTCCAGTACAATGATAGAGTAGAGAATAATCAATAGCCTCCATGTCAAATAACTCTCCACTGAGAATGAATTAATTTCAATACTTACATAATATGTTTATAATGATATTATCATTTGTATAAGAATCACACGATGTAACTCAACATACCTGCTGATCATTGTCAAATGAATCAAGGAAAACACCAAGACCTTTCCATGTGTTAGTATTTCCAAATGCAGGACCCTCGATGCCTGCAGTTTCTGTAAACCAAATGGCCTGGGTAAAAGATCAGTACATCATTGTTAACCCATGAGTGAGAAAATTAATCCTTAGTAGATTCAAGACCAAGTTATCTGAACCGACATCCTAAGAGTTATATGATAAACAATTTAAGGAGAACTACTAATGAGATCTTAGGAGTGAGAAGATTAATAATAAGTCCTGTCTGAAAGACTACACTGTTCTGACTTCCTCATATTAGTAATAATTTGATCAAAGTGACAAATTTGCAAAACACACTGAATTGATTACCATTAAATCTTTTTCAAGACATTAAAATACTTGATGAATTGCAGAGGAGTGGTGATGAAGGGAGGGATCACCTTTAACAGAGTTTTATCTTGTTCAGAATAGGGAGTGGTACTGAAAAGATCTCTCTCCATGCTCCACAAATTATAGACACTAGGCTGGAGGGACTTAAATATTATTCCTCTCACTTTTATTCACATGTACACATGAAATAATAAAGTAATAATAAGATGAAACCATAGAATTATTTTGTGTACTCCATAAGTGTCTGTATTGTATGGATCACAGTAGCTATTCAACTGTTGATTGATAAAATCTCTTATATGTATCTCACCACACCATCTCCACCAAGCCTCCCTCTTCCAGTTACTTTCAAGGCTACTTCTATTTCCCACCACTCATGAGGAAAGGTGCTTTTTGTCCAGGCATAACCTGTTTGAAAAGGATATGCCACATATTATACTATTTTGGCCTCACTTTCTTTATTTGCCAAAAAATAGCCCAGCAAAGGGAAAGGAGGCCAATCATCTTCATGTTGGATTTTACCAACTTTCTTGGAGTCGGTGAGGATGTGGGTAGTATTTTTAATTTTTTTACAAAACTCCTGATCAGAACAAACATGTTAACACAATAAAAATGATTTGAAAATTCTAAGGTAATTCTATCTGATCTTGTTAATAAAAAATATTTTGTGTCAATGGGAGACAACCCAAACTAAGACAACAGATAAATTTTGACTGGTTGTTAATAAAAAAAACACAATTCAGAAAACAATTTCAAACAACTGATTATTATCTCTTCAAATAGTTGATAACTCCTATATATTCTGCTAATTTACATAAAATACCCTTTGAAACTAGATATACTTAAAACTTTTTTGTTGAATTCGAGTCAAAAGACAAGAAAAACATCACAGAAATATCAAGGGCAAAGAAACCTGAAGAAATCAGTCTAAGACAAAGTATAATAATATTTTTCGATGAAGAGCGTCTAAGTTGTGATCTAAAGTTTAAATTATACTTCCGGAACACAAAGTTTTAAAGTTAAACGCGACCTCAATGATGTCCTTCATGTCCTCCTAACTATTGTTTATAGGATGAAAAGTAAATGTTTTGATACATTCACATTCAACATTTTCAAAAAGTTCGGCCTAAGTTAGGTTACACACGGAGTGCATACGCCGTTGTTGAAATCAGCTGTGACAACTGGAGAAGTATTTACCTTACAGACCTTTTTTTAAGTATAAAACCCGGCCGATGGATTGCTTGTTCAGTTTAAAAGAAATCATATGGCAGGAAACTAACCTTTTTTATTAGTCATTGAAGGAGTCAATCTAATCTGGTCATCGCTGGGGATAGCACCTAAATTGGAGAATAAAATCAGCCAAAAATTTACAAAACGTGCGCTAAGGTGACTTTGTACACGTGTAGATTGAATATTCACTAGTCACTTATCAAAACAATGGCAACTTACTTCCTCCGTGATTCCAAAAAGGAATTGCTCCATCTTTATTCACTAAATGCGGTCCTTTAAAACTATGCTTATATTGGAATTTGACGTGTCGTTCACCAGGTACTGAAGCGACGGATAAACGAAATAAAAACAATAAGAAACCTACACTGGTCAAAGCTTCGACGGAAGCCATTTTGAGAGAACACTAAAAATTCGGCGTACGTTGCATCTTGGGATATCCGGCAACTTCTCCGAATATTTGTCAAGCGTTGATTGGCTGATTACCTTTCAACGAGTCTAAAGTTGATTGTCATTGCAGGCGGGCTTTTTAAAAAACATCCCGTCCTTTAAACATTCTGAAAGGTACGAAATGGGATTAAAGTACGATGCCTAGAGCTGGATATGCTCTGTTTTCGTAGTTGGGATAAGGGCCAAGTACGTCGCGCAAGTGGAAAAAAAAGAAATAACTAAATAAGTGAAATTAAAAAAATTGGTATAAGTGCGCCTTGCAGAACTCTGGGAGTGAAGCGCACGAAAATTTCTCACTGTCTAGAGATGGGAAGGTTATGTGCCAAGTGGTGAGTTACCTCAAGTCATGATTTGAAAAAATTCAATTTCCTCAGAGTATGAAAAATTTGAAATATAGACCAAAATGATCCCCGGAAACTAATAAAAATTGAAATGGACCTTTTCCAGTGAAAGTAAAAAGTATGCACATAACAATCATCTATTCGTGTCGAATTGAATGCTATCAATTTCTACGTCTTCCACAAGTGATGACGTCAATGGTCAACAGCAGAAGACTATCAATAACATCCATGCCTTAAACATCGTTTTAGTAGTTGGAAAATAGTGTTGAGTTGAATATATGTGGTTTCAGTAGGGTAGAAGTATATTATATAAGGTGCCCCATAGTATTATCTAGAAATGAAACATGTCTGTGAACTTCGAAGTCTTATAGCAAATTTTTACGGTCAATTAGCCAGTCACAACAACTCGCCACCACCATTTAGAGTCAAATCGCCATCGGTGGCAAATTTATTGGATTTCACCGTGTTTGCGTGCACTTTTAATTTTGCATCACTAAAATTAAAAAAGAAAAAAAAAACAATAATGTAGAAGGTCGTAGCTTTTCTATGACGTAAGTTCCGTTAGACTTGGTTTCGAATTGCGTTGATAAGAATGAAACTCGCGTTAAAGGTCACTTCGGCACTCCTTGGGCATGACACAAAGAAAGGACGGAAAGCCACGTCTGAAAAATTTCGTACTTGTACGCGCCTAACTTTGCAACATACTACTACATCATAACTTGTAAGTTTTAGACGAGTTCATAACCATCGGCAAAAATCACCCGCCGAAATTCATTCTGGTTTTGCTGCACCTAAACTGATTATAATCTTCGAAGTATCTTCTTGCTTTTAGACCTTTGAATGGTTATTGTTCCATAATCAAGACACCACACACAGCTTCTGAGTGAATTTGCCACTGATGGCGAGTTGACCGGATACCGTACCAAAACTTGTTTTGTAAAGATTAACTCTTCCTGGTAACCTCAGCTCAGGCGGTCTCAAAAAAAAATAGTAATGATAATAATAGTAAAAAATAATAAAAAATAGTAGACTGCGTTCATCAAATTTTGATCCAAATCTTTCCTCGCCTGCACAAGCCAAATTAAATTATTCCTATGTCACGTTTCGCCTCACGTAAAGTCGCTCGATAAATATTTCCATTGTAATGCGATGATCATTGTTTTTTAGGTTTTCTCCCGCTCGCATCTAATAACAAACCCCTAAATTTTTTTCATTGATTTAAATTAAAAATGTGTGACAGCGAATTCGACAAGTTTTCTTTAGCCAGAAAAGCACAGAATTACTTTTGTCCGCTATAAAAGTGCTGCCAATAACACGAGATAATTCTATGATGATGGCGTCAGGCCCAGGGGAATTTGGGGCAAGGAATTACCACAGTGTAAATCAACTGTGTCTACACCTAATTGAGTGAGAGAATATGTGAGTGACTCATTTGCATATCTGAGTCCCATAAAAACTTTTTTCTACACTTCGCGTATCCAAAAGTTTAATATGGCAGAGGGATACGGGACTGAAAAAGCCTTTTTTGGGCTTCCTGTATTCTACATGAGTGTTTGGAACATGAGATGGCCAGTAAAGGGTCAGGTCTGATCAGTAATTTGTACTGTAATTTGGTATCTGCCAGTTGGCTTCATCAAGTCACAAACTAGATAAATATGTACTGTTTGAAAAGAAGTCAAAATCTCACATTTTCCTCCTTATAATGATACTCGTGTATGGCTAGCCCTTGAATGCAGTAATTCAGAGCCAACAGGGCATAAGTTGAGTGAAAGTTTACTTCTTGATCACAATAGTACATGTATGTACATTTCACTAACACTGCTCCTTGAAAGCATTCTGCTATCATTACTGTAAGGATCTAGCCATAAGCAACTTGTTTACTACATTAATCTAGCCTCATATATAAATTATATATATATATGTAGGATTTTTCCAGAGATGGATGTGTATGATAGTATCTATGACATGTACATGTTGATTAACACGGCCTGTAATATGTTGAAAACGCATATTTTTCACAGCTTGAGGCTGGAATAAAATGAACCAATATTACAAAAACAGTTTGTACTTCAGTTTTTATGTCATGATTGTTTTCATGAGTTTTCATTAGGTGAAAGTGGAGGACAACTGTCACTCATAAAGTTGCGTGGAGAGACTTGTCCTTCTTGTTTGTCCCTGAAAAAAAATAAATGTCTCACCATTAGCTAACATAAATCTGGTTCAATTCAATTTGTTGAGAGATATGGTAAACTTTTGGGGGAATATTATATACTGAGCCTTATGTACTCCTTTCTTTCTTGGAGGAAAGATTTAGGTAGTCCTTATCGCAATTGGAAGTAGATCTTAGAATGGTCAATGATCCAGATCATAGTTGAGCCATAGAACTATTCTATTTTGAGTAAAGATTAATATTTACAGTGATGAAAAGATCAAAAGAACTCCAAGGGACAATTAGTTACCAAGGCTTAAAAAGTATTTTCAAAGAAAACTGTCATTCCAAAAAGAGATCATTGAAAAATCCTTTTACTCCTCTGGTGTATTTCCAAGTCACACATTTCTAACTCTTAACTTCCCAACCACTATCATACATTTACTAGAAATTTGCAGGATGTGCATTTATTACTACTGAAATAAGTATGAATGCTACTCACACGTCATAGCTTAGGTGCTCAATGACAGCATCAACATGTTCCTTGGGAATTTCTCCATCAGTCTCTGCTAGGTATGTGAACAATTCCTTAAACAGTGAGAATGGTATTCTTGCAGGGCCCCCTTCTAGATCAGTTGTCAAAATCTCACAAACTGTTTTCATAGCCAATGTAAGATTCTAGGACATAAAACAATTTACAGTAAAGAAATGGAAATATTGCTGATCTTATAACTCTGCATCCATTCCTTTTTTGTTGGTTTGTATGGAACAAATCTAGCACATTAATTGACATGCAATTCTGCAAGGAGAATTGGGAGAGGGAAATCACCTCTCCAAGCTCCAACACCTTGTTTACATCCACTTACACTGACTTATGGAGGCTACGCAGGTAAAATCTCCTCAGCCGGCTCTTTTGCTTCATAAAATGCCATTTTTTGCTTTCACTTCACAAACACAAAGTTCGAACTTGGATGAATTCAAGCAAAATGGTTATCTAATGCTGTTTGGAGCTCAATTTGATTCTTGCAAAATGAGTCAATTATCAGCACCATGGCTTGTTGTAGATTAGTCTCAATCACTTGAAAGGCATTTAATTTCTTAACTAACAATTACTGATTTCAAGAAACAAATCCTTTTCTGGTAAAAAGCAAACTTACTTAACAACAAGCTGTCAGATAAAAGTGTGTTTTATTTGTAAGCTTAATACTTAAAAATAGCTTTAATTCTTGACAATACAGACATATATTTGGCATAATATAACTTGACTACAATAATTACCTCACTAATTGCACTGCAAGCAAGAGCCAGAAAATGAAGCCACTTCAGTTCTTCAGCAAAACTTCCCAACCTGAAAAGGAATGGACACCTCTAAATTAATTTGCTCGATCCATGCACACTCTATATATGTACACCATCAGTTTCTTAACCCCTTAACCTCTTAGTGTGACTAGCATCTAATTTCTCCTTACAATGTCACCACTGAATCACACATTAATGTCATGAAAATAAAGGAAATGATTACCAACTACAGAAACTCTTGATTGTTAGAAAATTCTCCTTGTCAGCACCTTAGTAAATTTACAGACAACAGTATGGAGAATATGAATACTGATGTTAGGGTGGAAAGGGTTAACTAATATTACAAAAAACCTGTGGTCATTCATCACAGTGAAGAACAATGTATGATCCTTTCTTTTGTGACACAGTTCAATTGCTGACTGCCAAACTCTACAGCTCAGAGACAAACTATATCATTTCTAAATGTTAAGGCCACTTTTTTTTTAAATACACTGAGTAACATAGAGAGGCTTATATTACCTCAGTAGCTCATCTAGAGTGTCTTTAGGAAGTGACAAATGTTTCCACTTTTCTTCCAAGGATGACAACTCTATAACAGGCTTTCCACCTAGCTGTTGGGAAAAAATAAATAAATGAGGATAACATTGTGTTCTCTGATACACAAATTATGGTGAGTAATTAGAAGTGGATAATACAATTTAACAGATAATCTAGAAAAAGTATGTTATGGTGAGTTGATGTGTATTTCTAACATTTCAGTCTACAGTAGTAACATAATTCATTGAGGAAGTACCTATGTTCATTCTCTGAAGAGTAGGGTCATGGATACTGTATCCATTTCATGTATGCAGGGTCTGTCAAATTCAGACTCAACCATCCCACAGATTAAGATGCCATTTTATCAAGGGGAAGATTTGAGTTTTTGGAAGATCCCAGGAGGAAAAACATCCTCACGACATGTTTTTTTGTTTGTCAGCTTACCAAAAAATGCTTATAGTTGGCCCTAGCAGTAGAACTAGGATCTCTCTTGTGTAGAGACCATCTTAGCTGAGAGGCACAAAGGATACTTCCACAAGTAAGATCCTTGCACTTAGTAAGGTAAATTTCCTGTGGAAACAGGAAAATTACCTGTGGAAGAAGAATTCACCTGACTTAACATCACATTTTGTCTTTTTTCTGGAGTTCATGAAAGCTCATAACTTAAGCTCATAACTTATCAAAAATGATTTCAAATATCCTTAATTAAAGTTACTTCATTGTCATCTAAGAATCAAGTTTGGCAAAATGAATCGATGACATCAAGCTTAATACAAATGGTGTAAGATACCTGTTTGTGTAAAACTGCAAGTAAGCCTTGAGTAAGGGGTTTTTCCAGAGGCTGCCCTAACTGGAACTCGAGACGTTCTTTAACTGGGGGTGTCTCTCCTTTAGACAAGGCATCAAAGTACCTAAAAGTTTATCAATATCAAGTTTTATTTAAATCAAGATGGCTAAATGCACGTGTATGTGGTGCAAATGTTATGACGTACACTTTCTTTTAAAGGTTATACGAAGCTGATGATGAGTAGTTCATTATCAATAAAATATATTCTTACTTGTAAGTATCATTGAATGTTTCCCTTCATCAGTATTACAATATGTCTCAGTTCAAATGAAGTCCGTAACTACTGTCGAAAAGGAAATGGGAGAGTTCTGCTGCCTGACTTTTTTCCGAGGACACTTAAACACAATTAATTCCCAAAGACCATTCAAATATCCTGTTACATATTTTAAGATGCAGGGATCAATGGTATTACTACGCTAGTGGAGAAACTGCCAAATGTTTATTTTCGTAACGTATTCATTTGAGTCAAAAATTCGACAAGTAAACTAAGTTTTGGGCTACCTCCATCAACCCTCCTTACCAAAATGTTGGTGTGATAGTTTATCGCGTTAAAATATCGTTACGGTATTCAAGACTCTTTCAAAAGGCTGGTGACAACAGTCTACCAATTAAAACTCAAAATAAGAAGTAAGTTTATCTCGGAAAGAAGAAACAAAACTTACGCGTAAGCCCACTGTAAAACATCCTTCGGTTGTGTACGAATAGCAGCCTTAGTAAACTGCTTTAGGATATCTGGCAACTCTGGAGGAATGTTGATTTGTTGTGAGCAATAGATCGGCTCCTCCTTTTGAGGCATGACTCTTGTATTTCAAACGAGTCTTTCCTCTGTCCTTGCAGTTCAAGATGGCGGGTGTTAGTTGCTATGACGACGACAAGCCTAACTCCCATTATGCTTAGCGCGGAAAAAATTCAGACTTGGAAAACATGGTGGTTGATGTCAACAGGGTTAACTGGAGTGACTTCGGAAACTCTGATCCCAGGGTAGGTTATCTCAGACGATATTTAACTATACTGTCTTTGTCTCTCTTTGAGCTTGTTTACGCTTGAAAATGCATTCTAAGTTTGACAAGGCGTAAAATTCGATGGAATTAGAAGTGTCGTCGGTCGCAAGTAAAACTGCAAGTGATGCAAGTGGTAGCAGAACAGACACGGCAAGCGATGATGAGGAATCTTATCAGACAGGTGTGATGGTAGTTTTTGCTCCTATCTCCACTGTAACACTTCATTAATCCCTCCCTCTTCTCTTTGTAACCCAAAATATTTCGTGTTGTTTCCACTCTTCTATCCTAGAACATACTGTACGTACTGGTCAGCGGTTTGAAGCGTAATAAAATTACCTGTAGTTCACTAGTAGATCCTCATATTCTTTAATCAAACCTGAAAAATGTAGTGAGAGCTTGAACAATTGCCAGATCAACAGAAATATGTCATCCCAGAGGTGATCCACATTCCATCTGCATCTGATAACAGCCCAAAGAGTTCAGGAATTGCCGTGTATAAATATTCCTCCTCTGAGGAATCTGATCATGAAGAATGCTATGAAGAGGGAAATTATCCTTCAGGATATGTTAGAGGTATATTACGCACTTTGTTATGATATGTGTACACCATTCAAAAATTTCAAAACTTTTTAAATTCTATTTTCTTTTCTATTAAAGATTAAGATAATGAGTGAAAACAAAGTAAAGAAATAGATGAGTGAAAGGAACACTTGTTTAAAAGTTTTGACATCAAGGAAAAAAATATGGCCACAACATTTATAATAGATGATAATGTTAACTAAGAACCAAGACAAAAGTTTGTTAGATTGCCTTCGAAAAGGGATTTGTGACCTGTTTTTTTTTTCAAAAAGGGATTCAATTGAATTGAATAGAAATAAAGCTTTTAGTCACTACATTTGACATCCTCTTAATTCTTGAGAGATATTGCTGAAAGCTTTTTTTGTTAGCTAGCATTTATTTGCTTGATACATTTGCCAGGTAAACTAAGTTATATTGCAGAGTAAGGCAAGATACAACGTTCATTGTTGAGGAGTTGTAATGCATGATGTACCCACAATTCTGTTGCCGTGGAAACATCAACAGTCAAAATAATATCTCTCTACACAAACTATTGATTCAAGGAACCAGCTCAACTGATTTATGTTAACAGTAGACAAAACCAATCATTATAATTTAGAGCAATCCTTCAGATTTTAATTTTTTGATAAGATTTGTTGCATTTGATTAGGTTTGGCCCCACCCCAGGTTTTGCTTAAAAGCTACAGAAGGCAAGCACGGGAATTTGCCAACAATGGAGATGATAGAGCTGTACATGATCGAATCCGATGTGTAGCTTTAACCAGAATAATTTATGGGGATAATCACTGGAAACTGGCTAAAGCTTACTCAAAGCTTTCACAGACATATCTAGAGCAGAAGGGTAGGTTCTGTGAAATTTTTCTGATCAGTAATGTTTAGGATAAACTATCCTCTACTAACACATCAATTTTGAGATCTAATTTTGAACATATAAGGTAAACCTAAATTTGTTTTTAATATTTTGAAGAGAGATTTTATCCATTTATTTTCAAGTCATTGTCTACTTGTTGTCAGGAATGGCCCAGCAAGCCCTGATTCATGCTGGAAATGCTCGTGATGTGTTACTGGCAGCAGATGCAGTAAAACATCAAGGAAGACAGATTTATGACAGATCTGATGTGCTTCCTGTTATGGAATTGATGTATCTTGTGATGGGACAAGCTCAGATTGCCTTGAAGAAGTAAGTGCAATGTACATGCAGTAGGTGAGTTTGCTGCATTGCTTTCCCAAGCCTCTTGCACCACCTGATTTTCCCACAGAAAAATTATTTGCAGTCTGTTTTGTTTTCTTAAAGTGTGGTTGAGGTATTCCAGCTGAAACTGCAACTTGTTCCACTTTCTGAAGCTGACAGAGTTGAATTTTAGATTTTATCAAGGTTGGAAAAGCAAAAATAAAGAGGGATTTCCTCCCACTGAAATGGCAAATTATCATCAAATGACTTGCACAGTAGAGCTGTATTGAAGTAGAAATTAAATTTTGATTGAACTTACTTAGCAGTGATTGCAATTAAATGACTTGTTATGCTTCTAACTCACAATTAGCATACAGCAGACAGTGTAATATTTTGTTTGTGTGAAACTTGCAAGAAGCATTTAAAGGTAATGTAGCATTAAGATGTAGGAGAAAAGAATAGTGCATTTGCTTCTTTACAGCACACAGAAGGCTGAGAACAGCTTTAAGAAAGCAGAGTTAGTATCACGAGAAAGAGAAGAACTAGGGCCAAAACATCAGGACCCTAACAGACGGCTTCAAATATTGATGGTCCTTGGTCGCGTCAGTCTTAAGACTCACAAAACAGGACATGCCCTGGAATGCTTTGAAAAGGTAGCAGTTTCAATTTATGGTCTTACTTAAACAGTAAATGAATAAAATTATGAAAAGCCTTGATATAAGAACCTAATTTTTACTCTTGGTCTCAATAAGCCAATACACAATTCTGTATGTTTCACATTACAGGCATTAGAGGTTGCTCAGAAATATTATGGAGCTGAAAGCAAAGAGTTGATTCCAATTTACCAAAGCCTGGCACGTGCGGAAGGAAGTCATGGTGACACAGCCAGCAGAGAAAGGGCATCAAAGTTGTTAATGCAAGCTCATGATATCAGCAAATCAAAGTAATGTCTGAACACAAATATTGTTGCCAATCATGAGGCAAGTTTGTTTAGTTTTATCATCTTCTGTAAAAAAAAATGTTTTTATTCATATTTATAGATTTGGGGAAGATTCAATGGAAGTTGCAGACTCTTCATTTGTTATGGCCATAAGTTACACTGATGATGATGAAAGCCTAGATAAAGCCAAGAAATACTTGAAGGATGCCATAACTTTATACATGAAGCATAGAGGTCCATATAATAACTCAACTATAAAGGCCCAGGTACAGTTTAAAGTCATCTCAGTACATATTGTTGTATTTTGTTGTATCTCTTGTAAAGGTAACCTAGACACATAACTGAGATCTTTCACTGCAGAAATACTTTTATCAAGTTGCAGTTTGAAATAAAATCTCTGGTCTTTTCTCGCTCATTTTAAGTTTCACTTAAAAATTTTATGTTGTCTTTGATCCAAAATATTTCAAGGGTTTTCAGCAACTTCATGATTGTTATTCATGTCTTTTAGCTATTGTAACAGTGCCTGTTGACCAATGAGAGGACAAATAAACTTGTTATTTCATAAAAATCATTATCAAATTTTTAGTTGGAGAAAATCTTTATTTTCTTAAAAGGGAAGTGAGCATAGGTAACAATAATATTGTTAATACCAACAGCTTAATATGGTTATTATTTGTTTAGCCAGCAGATAGAAGGTTGGTAATATTATTGTAATAAATCAGTAACTTGATTGTTCTTGTATGTAAACAGATGTACAAAAGTAAAACTTTTTGCAACAACTGACTTCTGGGAAATTTTTCCACTTTTATTGTAAGTTTGCGTTTTTTTTTTTATTAGGATGAGCTCAGTCGTTTGTTAATTCGTGATGGCAGTCTGGAGGAGGCAGTGTCGCTTCAGAAGTCAGTGGCAGAAGCTAAGACAGTGGTGTATGGTGACCCAAGTGAGCAGGCTGCAGCTTCATACCAGTTGATGGGTAGTATAAGACTGAAACAAGGACGAACACAGCAGGCTTTGAAATGGCTCACCAAGGTAACACCAAGTTTTAATCTATGTTCTTCTTTGTTTATTGGAGCTCTAGGATTGGTTACCATAATTTACCAGTTTTTCAAACTTTTTCAGATATTATAGCCATGGACATTGTATTCCTCATTATTTAATATAATTTGTTTTGTGTGTTTACCTGTTAGGCGCACAATATGCTGAGTGCAACATTAGGAAAGAGTCACAAGAGAACAAAAGAGATGGCAGACACCATTAGCCGCATAAAGATGTAAGTTGTGTGGAGTATTAGAGACTTGTAGACTGGAGAATTCTTTGAGCAGGCGATTCGTATGTTCATAAATATTTTTCTTTCATGAGATAAAGGATCCAAGGAAACCACAAGAAGTTCTTTTTAGATAAAAGGCACTACCAAAAACTTTTCTTGTTCGGTAAAGTATCGAAAGAGCTTCATAAGAAATGACTTTTTTCCCTGTAAAGAAATAGACTCTGCATCTCTTTTCGGACTGAAGAATATAACCACCATTCTTAGAACAAATTGAATATATCCACCCTTCCATTTGAGGGTAATGAAAGTTTCGAACTCAGAAAGTTTCCATTTCTAACAGGAGCACGTGCAGTCCCTCATTGTCAGTTGACATCAGCCAACACTAAGGGTTAGTCGTTCCTCCCGTTGCAAAGAGCTTTAGGTTAAGTAATTGTGGAACAAGGAAATGCCTAAAATCTTAGTGGTTGAATACGTGCAAATATCTTCATTTCAGGTCGCCTGATGCTCAAAAATTCCTAAGTGCAGAAGACAAACTGAAGAAGAGACCAAGGTTCACTCAAGTCGTGGGTAGATCTAAACCCTTGGGGTACTCATCAACCCCTTACGGGGATTAACTTCATTCGTGTAACGCTGAGTGGAACCAGGGATGACAGAAATGCGAATGCTAAATGTATATATTGCACAGAACAATCTATATAACTGTAAATTGTCTAAACCAACATGAAGGAAAATCACGATAGAGCGTGCCATCTTGTGTCAGTAACGTCTTTCTTTCTTCGTATTTCGAAGTTCCCTTTCTTACATTGTCTTAACTCTTTTTTCCATGAACCGCACCTTTCATTCCCATTTAACTATTCTCTTGCAAACCAGTGCGCCCATATGCTGCTTATGAATAAGATTACTGTGGTCGAAATTCTTCAGTCATTTCATCTCTTGAAAAGGAATATCTTTACCTACCATTGACCATATCCTAGAGCACTGCACCAGAATGGCATGTTGAAAAAATCAAATCCTGTAAAAGCTCTCTATTTTTCATTATTTTTAAGTGAAATAATACAAGTGAGTTACTGTTCGTTCTATCCTTTTTTCGTCTCTATCATCACACGTCAATTTTATTTATCTATTATCTAATTTAACGCCATGACTTTCTTTTTTCGTCTTGGTTTAATCAGTCAAGCGCTGGAACAAATGAGCTGATCATAATTTATTTTCAACTGAATACCTAAACAATATTACAAACAAATCTTTGGTAAGAAATGTGAACAATTGAATGTTTGCCAAAAGGGTTGATTGTTTTCACAAAATGTGAAGATATCCTCTCCAAATCTACTGTTTAAGGGCTTTAATAGGGAGAAAAGTAATGTAAGAGGCTTAGTGATACGAGCTGCCTATTGCTTGCTCCGCGTCGCATGAGTAAATGTCATGAAATGCTTTCTTAGATATTTTCAGGAATTTGAGGAGAGAAATACATGGCGATGTCTTTGTAGTTGATGTGTGTCAATCCAAATTGACTATAATACATTTCACCGTTAAGATGGTTGTCATTTTGAAGGTGAAAATGGCATGATGAGGTCACCAAGACAACTCAACTGAATAACATGAGAGAGAGCGAGGAAGTCAGAATCTTGTCGAGCTTCACCACTTGTTCCGGATGGGCATAGACTGAACTTAAACAATGCAAAGAAATCGTTACAGGGAGAGTTGGGCAAGCAGCTTTACACGATTGAGAAAGCATACAACTGCCACCCGGCGTTTCCCTCCAACAATAACAATAATAATATTATTATTATAATCATGATCATTCCACCTATCAAGATCAGGACTCAAGACAGAGATTCTACGGGAATTGACTCAGAAAACAAACATAGCTTAGAATTTGTCAACAGACCGCAACTTCCCCAAACAATTACTAGGCTGTCACTTAAAAAAAAAGACTGAGGTACCGAAAAAATGGCTATAACTGCATCTTCAAAAGGAAAGATGTTCTTTGTGAACTAAACATCCTCTTTCTTCAGATATATACCACAAGAGTGCAATCCGAAAACCATCTCCCTTGTGCGAAAGTGATTGATGTCGAATTGGGTGGCCTGATCACTTTACTTCTATTACTAAGGGCATGTATAACGAGCCGTCCCTTTTGTTGTGTTTTAGAAAAGGGATACATTTTAAAAGCGTAAACAAACCTTTAATCGTTGAACACACAACTGCACAAATTACACGGTCAACCGAATATCTGTATAGGTAACATTAAGTAACGAAAAGTGATAATACTAAATGCAACACAAATGAATAGTATGAACAAGAATGTACAACCAACACCAAGTTCGTGTTCTATTTACAATCAACACTACACCTTTGGTTTAGAGAGAGTATCACGGAGGAGAAATTCAATTTCAAGTTCAGACTTCTTGAACTTATTCTATGGTATTCCTTGTATGGCTCTTAATTAGCAGGATATTGTTTCACTGGTACCAGTCGATATATCACCATTCCACTGTTTGAATAAGTCGGTCAGAAAATTATCGTTATGCATAATGCAAGAAGACTGCCAGTGTTACTTTATGTGTTCATTTTTCTGTTTTCTCGCTTTTTCTGCCGTCGTCCACAGAAACGATTTCATTCTTCTGATTTTTTTTGCTCTTTTCAGCCATGTCTGGCCTAATCCTACAGACTTTTCGGTAATCTATTCTGATTCAATTATCCGAATTCAATTGCGTTTGCTACAGGCTTTGGCGGATAGCACAGTGTCCCGGAGAAAAGTTTACAGACTGTTGGCTTTCGGAGACAGAAATTCTCTCTTATGTTTTCCTCAGAGTAGTATTTTTGTTGCAACGTGTGAAAACTTCGCACTCGATGTTCGTAAGTCCATTTCTGCTTTCTCAGCATATTTTGAATGATCGTATTCTTGAGGCGGCCTTCATAATTAACAGCCTCGAATGTGAGAGAACATCTGAAGTTTTTCATCAATATTTTCCGCTTCATTTCATCCTCCACTCTTCTCGATCGTTGTAATGGTTTTGTTTTGATCATTACGGTCGTTTCGTTTTGATCGTTTTGCTTGTTTCACTTGCTGTCTCGGGTTTTTAGAATATTCCCATTTGGTTTGCCGCCCTCCGAAAAAAACGTGAAATTACCAAAATTTGCATGATTTCAAACCCCGATGGCAAAATAAGTTTTCATACCATGGAAGCTTATTTTGCCATCGGAGTTTCAGTGGAACTTTCAGGGAAGTTTTCTTACAAATGGTACTGTTGAGATTTGTAAGCTGCCCTGCTGAACATGAGTTTATCCGTTGCAAATGTTAATATTGCTTCCTTAGTTTGCAATCTTCTTAGGGTTCCGCGCCTCCTTTCCTGCCTTTGGAAGTATTTCTTCCCTCCGATCACTAACACCTCCGCAATCTTTCTGCCTTATCATTACATTTTCTTTTATCAGCTTTGTGTAAAGTACAAAATGATTCCAAGTAATCAAACCAGTGACAAGCAACTAAGTGATCTTAAAGGAAAGAAACTAGCAACATGACCCCAAAACTACCAACACACTTCTTCCTAATCAGCGATTGAATTTAAACCTAAAACAATGCTATGGCAAGAGATGTGCATTGACTCAAGGCAGTGAAACAGGTCAACATATCTCTGAAATAATGTAAATGTATGGCATCTTGTACTTTTCAAGAGGATGGGAGAGGGGGGGGGGTGGGGTGTCCATCGGGTGTGGTTCATTATCCTTAAAGGAGCAACATTCCTCATCAGATCAAGTCCTGGACCCAAGCTTAAAAATGTCTGCAGAGAAGAGTTTGAAAATATACAAACAAAATCTGGAAGACATGAAAAATTGATTTTTGTGCACTTAAACTTCCAACAAGAAGCAGAGCAGTCACATATTCTCCATTCAAGTTAAAAATATGGAGTACACTGCACTTAAGTCTTTTCATAGTGAAAAAATCAAACCTCACTTTTTATCGCAAAACAAAACACTTTAACACCAGTAACTACAAAAGTTTACATAGGACACACTTAACAAACTTCAGTTTAATACATAAACGAGAGTTGAGAATTTTGTGATAGCAGCTGGACTTAGGCAACTCTCAATCAACATCTCCAAGGTCTTTTAAGTTGATCACTCTCTTTCATTTAGTTAATGTGAGTGTCATAACTTATGACAACAAATGGCAGGTATTTAACCCTTATTTCATTTGTTCTTTGATGAATTCTTTTGCATTAGAAGCTCCCTTTTTGCCCAACTCCCATGCTGCTACTGGTACTTGCTCCAGTCCCCCAAAAACACTCTGCACTCCACTATTCCAAGACTGCCTAATTTTTGTAGTTGTTGGAAGCTGTAAAAATACCAGAAAAAATTACCTACATGTTACATTAATTTAAGATGAATTAAAGGATAATTCCTAAAATGAACCAGTAAATGACTACAAAATTATTGGGTGATTTCCTATGGCTTTACAGTGGTAACACTGCACATGACTCCCAGCATACAGGAAATAACTTTCACACAGCGGTTAAAAGAAAAGGATTCCATGAGAAAATTTCGAGGTTTTTCAACAGCAGACCCATTCTGTAGACACTCAAACAACCTTTCCCAATTTCAATCAACAAGCTTCTGATGCGTGAACTCTTTAATAGTAATAATAGTTTTATATTGGTGTAATTTGAATTCTTCATTACCAAATCTAATTCCATACATATGATGTATATAATGTAAACTCACGAATGTTATTTTTCCCAAACAATAATTGGTTCAGACTATTAATGGTTTTTCAGAAACCATCACAATGAGATGTACACATCGACGAAGTGCAACATAAGTACTATGATGTATATCATAAATAAAAGATAATGTTCAGTAAGCTTATCTTTATCAGTAATGATGAAAAGCATAGCTCGTGATTCGTTCACCAGGGGAATCTAAAGAGCTAAGATCCCGAATATACTTAAGTAGACTGTTCCATAAGGAAGTGCCCATGGTATTTGAACGACCGCTTCAAATAGAGATGTAAGCGAACAATGATACAAGAGAGAGATATGAGTCAACGCTTTCAGCATCACGTTTGCCTACAACATGCACTTGCTGAAAAAAAAATTTTGTAGCAGTCAGTGCATGTTGTAATCATAGCCCCACTAAATAGAATTATTTGTTTCGGGAACTTACCTCAGGTAAATTAACGGGAATGTTTTGACGAGTTTTACTGTCAATCATCGAGAGCTGTTTTATTGTGTCGTCTTGTGAACTTAACACTTCTGACAATCCATACAATGCAAGGCCGCCAATAATAAACTTACCAGCAACCTTCACTAAAGTTACCGCCATCTTTGCTTTCTTCTCGGGTAATGATTTGAGAGGGAGGGGTAGGGTTGACTATTCATGAACCAAAAACTTTATTTAAAGAATACATTTGATACTTTTAAACATTTTCTTTGTTTCAAGTTTATTTTGAATAATGGGTTTGTCGTTTTTCAGGCTTATTTGTCCATTAAACTGAAAATTTTGCAGTATCTTATATCCGATCTCTTCCTCTCCCTACACGGGTTGAATTAACTGCTTGGCAGCCAAGCCTTACGATCAACAACATGGCGGACGGAATGATACAGGTTTCTCAAACCTTACAAACATTTTTGCCAGAAAACGCATTCATGGAAGTCATAACACTGCTGAAGAAGGTAGATATCGCAATTTTGATTTTAGTATAATCACTAGGTAATTACTCCCTTAATTCTGAATCTTAAATTATTATTTGAAAACAACGCACCAGACAAAGAGCCATTCCGTGGATAAAAAACGGATTTATCATCAAGGTTTTGTTTATTTATTGATATTTATCAGGGCGACTAGTTATGCAAGGATTGAAACCAGTCAAAATTCACCTTGTTTGCAGGTTAATTTGAAGGTACTTGTGGAAAGAAGGTACAGTGACTGGTTGAATGGTCAGGGATATTCGAAGTCGTGTGAAAATCTGGATGAAAAATCTCAAGACAGAGAGAAAATTGCTGCAGTTATCGAGAATTTGGTTCAGTGCGCAGAGCCATTTATCGAAGATGAGGGGGGTGAGTTTTTCACAACTACAAAAAATAGCTGTTTATCTCAAAAACAGTAATCAATAGCCTGATTGTCTGATTGAAGAATTAGGTTTGGGACGGCACCATCTTTTAAATGAAATTCCACAGTCAGATGTCTAAGTACATAATTTGTTAACAACGTTATTCTAATTGATGCCTGTATCCCCAATTTTTTTTGGTCTGTTTGCTTTTTAGTTTGTTTCTAGGGTATCACCCCAGTAACAAAGTTCTAGTTTGTTACTCAGGTGAACTTTAAATAAATTAGTTTGTTATTTGATGGTCAAAATGGTTTGAACAATCACCAAATTGACAGAACAACACATGTCTGACCCTGAATTCTTTCATTAAGGCTGGGATAAAGAAGAGATGTTGAAGCATGAGACCCAAGCCTCTGCTGTTTTGAAGATTTGCCAGTTACTGTTATCTTCACTGTTGAACAGGGATAATCAACTGCTAGCAGAGAAAGAGTTCCCAGTGGATGCAGTGAGTTGTTAAATTTTATTAGAACTGAGTCAATAACATTTATTTTTTTTAGCACTTACATACATATGGTAGCTGAAAATTAATTTAATAAACAATAGACTTTAACAGATGTTCCTCAAAAGGTTTTTCAAAATTTATGTTAATAAAGATAGAAACTAATGATAATACTAATAAAGATAAAATATAGTAATTATTTACAGCTAAACAAGCTCTGAAGGTTCATGCTAATATACTGTGTGGAGATACTCCCTCATAGCAATCTTAAAGGATTTCAAGGAGGTACGGTTCTTAACATCATTAACCAAAGTGTTCCATATGCTTATTTGTACCTTAAAATTGCAGGTGTTTAAGAAGTTTATTTTAAAAAAGACCTGCAGTTGCTTGGTGGCTTTATGTGCTGTACACATGGAGTCACATCTTTGGACAAGCACAGCATCAATGGCCCTTGCTCATGGTATGAGCACTAATATTATGTATTAAGAACATCCAGTTTCCTGGATTTTTGCATGCTCATTTTATATGATTATCTTCATTCTACAAAACTTCTACCACTGAAATTTATAAAGTATAATGCAAATACTGTACATTTTGTTTGGAAACTTTGTTTTTATGTAAGCATTTGAGTTACCATTTCATGACTTTCTTTGGATAGTTGATGATCACAGGTCTGCTTATTTTGTCATTATCAACTGAAAAATGTCTTACTTTGTTCTTTTTTTTAAAATTGTACCAACTTTTGAAGCTTGAAAGGTTTACTCAGAATGTTTCAATGAGAGATTGTAAATGGCCAATGTGTTGCAGAGCTGGTTTCCTTGATATGTACCAATTGCCAGTGTCCATCAGTACAAGAGCTTCTCTGTGGCTGTGTTGAGGTTGAGTCTGTTGTGTTCAACATGGTAGAGGAGAGTCAGTCACCAAACAGTTTGTTCCCTTCAGGGCTGTTCAGACATATCCTTGATTATTTGAGACCTCACCTCCTTAAAAATAACTGGAAGAAATTTCCGCTTGCTTGCCATGGGCTTGTGTGGTGCACTCTGCAAATTAAGGTGAACTGCCTATGGAATTATAGGATACTTAGTAGAGCAATACCTCTTTTTCAATAAACATCTGTCTACATGTTGTTGATTTCAATTTACTGAATAGGAGGACTTGAAATTATTTTGACTATCAGGTAGTCAAAATAATTTCAAGTATCCTATTGATTATTGTTTAGATACTCTTTGTTTGTAACTCAAGTAAATTGTCACAATAAAGTAACTAACAGTTACCAGACAAGGGTAATATCCTAGAAACAAACTGAAAAGCAAACTGACCAAAAAAAATCAAGGATACAGGTATTAATTATAATAATGTTGTCAACAAATTATGTACTAAGACACCTGACTGTGGCATTTCATTTAAAAGATGGTGCCGTCCCAGTATATCAGCTCATGGGTTATTTTAAGTCCAAGCCTTTGCCAGCACAACAATTGAGTCTGTGGATTATTTGTCTTTCCTATTGATATGAACAACATTTCTATTCCGATTGATATAAACAACATTTCTATTCCGATTGATATGAACAACATTCTAAGAATGATTTGGGGACTTTTGAAAATTTAAGGGATAGAACCAAATTTTTTTTAAGGTACATGTAAATAATTAAGGTTGAGAGAAGTAAGTAAACAACTCTGACTAGAATAAAACTAATGGAAGGTATGAAATTTAAATAAAGTTTTGGCTAAAATGCAGTGGATTTAAACCTTCCAACTCTGATGATTCAGAAGCAAATTCTTACAACTGATTACCATAATTTCAATGCTGGTTATTGGTGAGGATTTGGGGCTTTATCTAAACAATTCTTAGGTTTGGATCTCCTATTTGATTTTAGTGTATAAAAAGAATAGAGAGAACTTTTACAATAATCACTCTTGAGAATCACACAGGTGAGGCTAAGCATCAGACATTTTCCTTCTAACCTTTTCACTCTTCATTGTCTGTAGCATCCTTATGTGGGGGAACACTTTGCCAAGCTGATGTCTCCTCTATTACTTCTCATAGATGATTATGAGGTATAGGTTTTTTCATTGGTGAAATTCTCTAGCATTTGATGAAACTAGATTTTAATGAAGTATTTTAGGATTTTGTCTTTTTTCAATTGTTTACTCGTGATCTTCATTTTGGAATTAGATTACTATAGTGTCCATGGTGGACAGTTTAATGCATGTTGGAAGTTGTGGATCTTTGTCAATTGGCATGAATGCCAGAGGTTATGAAATATTCACCACAGTCAGGTTTAAAATTTACTAATGGAATGTACATATAACTACTTGTTTATTCTTCCACTATCAAACAGACTGAGAACAAAACACTGGGGTTTAAGTGCTTAAAACACGTCATTGATAATGTGGTATGTGGAGCTGATTGTTTTCACTTTATAACTGTTATCTAATGATACCTTGTATCTACAAATATTGTGTATATGTATCAGTTTCTCCGTCAAAGGCTACAGATAGTTAAATTCTATTATACTCTGAATATTTCTTATTCTTTTCAATTTCAGAATTCAGCTGAATTGCAGTGGTATGGAAGAGCTGATGTTCTTTTTGAGGTAATTCCTAAAACTCCTAAATCCAGCACATTGAACTTAGATCTTTTGGTTTTGGTGGAAATGGTATGAGTACTCAGTTCTTAGTTTTTACAGAGTCTTGAGGACAATATTTATAAAAATCACATCAGCAGCTAGTCAATAGTAGAGCATCCCCACAACTTTTTTCATGTTTGTTTAGGCAATAAACTTGCATGGTAAAGGGAATCAACACTATTTAGTAACATGATATTTATGGCATGAATTACCTGTAGGCATCCCAGCGTCACATATATAGCAATGACCCCTCCCTGATGCGTTCTCTTCATCCGTGCCTGCTAAGCATCCTGACAGTTGTTGAACCATCTCCAAAGAAAGCCAAGTTTGGCCGTAAGGTGATGTTCACATTTTCTTTACTTCTTTTATTTGCTTCTTTTATCATCATGATATCATACGATTGTCTGGCAGGGAAGGGTATGTAGGGTTGAAAAGGGTCATTGTTGGTGTGTGGTTGATTGACTTACACCCCTTTACTGAGTCTTACAACCAATAACATCATGAGTGAAGACTGACCAATCAGTTTTCATATACCAGCCTTACAAAACTTGACAGACAAATAACTCCTTAATATGTGAGTGTGATGATAACTTCCATTTGGGTTATAAAAGACATCAGTCAAATTAAAAAAATAGTCCTTGTCTGGAAAACTCTCATTCTGCTGGTCACAAGCACAGTAAAGTTTTACTTTTAGGTTGAAACCAATTACACTTTCCTGTTGACATTGTTTATCAAGAGGATGGGAATTTGTTTTGACATCCATCTGTGAACAGGAGCATGTCGTCTTTTCTGATGGCTTTCATGGCTTAGAGGTTTTTTCTTTCTTTTTTTCTTTCTTTCTTTCCTTTCTCAAGAATTCAATAATTAAAAGAAAATCTAAGTAAAAGATCCAGGCAGTAGACCTATGTAGGTGGCAGGATTGCGTACCCTGAACAAAAGGGACATAAACCAAAGTGCTAAGAGGATCTCTTTTGAGGAGTGGTGTCAGATAAACAGGCTGATCTTATTTTGGTGTGTATTGTTTGATTCCCTGACCTCTAATTTTTTTTTTTTTGCAGACAACCAAATGTGATGGTTTGTTTCAGATTATCCTCTCCTCCATGGAGTTTGAAAGTAAAATTGCTGTAAGAAAGGTCAGTTTTTGGAATAGGCATTGGAGGAATCTCCTAGTTGCAATACATCTGCTTTTAAAATTTTCTATCTAAGAAATGTGGGTGGCAGAAGAATTCCAGTGTAACCCAAAAATTACCATAAATATGGTTAGCTCTTCTAGTGCTCTATTACTATGGATGTCCACACATGATTCACTCTCAGATAATTAGATATACATTTTTTTAACTGTATATGGACTGTATTGTACATGTACCTCAACTGATCACAGCTTTTAACTATCTATGGCCTTGAGTTTAATCTGAAAGACATAGTTGTTTCTACAGAAACAATTCAAGCATCTTATGGGTGACCAGTTTTGCAGATTGCTCCAAAAGCAATCCAGGAAAGAACTTCAATCTGTTATTTCTCCTTTCATCAGATTTTGTTAATGAGCTGGTGTGCTTGCCTGATCATCCATTTTTGGGAACAACTTGAATATTAAATTGTGGCGGTAATGCCACAGTAAAAAAAAAGTTGAAACTGCGTTTACTTAATAATAATTATTTGATTTGTTTCCAGGCGTATGCAAGTCACCTGAAGCATTTTATTGAACACATGGGAATAACAATACTAAGGCACTTTAAGGTAACATATTTGGGACAATCCTATCCTCAAGTTCCTAACTTGCTTATGTGTATTTAATATAAATGTAATATCTGAAGTATGTCTATAGTAAGATAGGTATTTGTCTAGATAATAACGGGAGTTTGTTGCCGTTTTCAGGCAAATTTCAGTGTGACATTTGACATTTGAAACATTTGGTATTAGTGACTAAGTTAGTGGATACAAACTACGTCTGAAACTGCTCTTGGCACGTGGTGAAAAATGTGTCTCTATGTACGTCCGCACGTTAGTCTATCTGTCTTTTCTATCTGTCTATCTACCGCTGATTAGGTCTCAATACATGAAGTTCCAGTATGACAGTTTACAGTCACCCATTTATTCAGTTGATCTCAGTTTTGTTGACTCTTTCTACGCTGAGTTGAGTCACCTTGTTCGCTACATAACATGACTTGGCAATATTCAAAGAGGTGATTTAAATTTTTTTCAGCGGCTTTTAAAAGTTATAGTCTCATATTTGGAAGTTAGTGATTATCCAGAGGAAGGGACACGGTTGGCTGTTTTGGATGCATTGAAAGTCGCAATGTTACAAGCCTGGCCCAGGTGAGAGAAGGTGCCTGCTCCTGATTCCACTGCTACATGTGCCAGGGCGGAGATATTCGAGTCACAATTGGCTCCACTCACTTCGTAACATCATGAACGTTCTGTATTCATGAAACTCAATGTACGACCAGCGTTAATAGGTTTTTGAATCAATCGGCACAGGGGTTTGTCAGAAAACTATCATCTCCAAGGAAGTTAATTTTTGTGTTCAACGCTCCGCGATGCAAACGCTTAGTATCGCGGGCGTTTGTAGATGTTTTGCTTAGGGTCACTGGTCATGCGTAGCATGCTCTTTCTTACTCCTTTTCATGCTTTCTATATTTTTAGGATTCCTAATCACAGTTCTACAATCCTGAAGAGTCTTTTGAAGCTGTTGGTTGATGCAACTGACTCTTCTGCTTACATAGCAGTTCAGGGTAACCGTTTGTTTTCTTGATAGATTTTGTCAATACTTAACCTTTAAGTAAGAATGGGTGTCAAAAAAAGTACATGGAGACACGTTTGTTTCTTTAAGCGCTTCCCTTTTCGTAGGAAGGAACACAACCAGAGGTTTCAGCAGGAATGGAGTAATTTACTTGTATGGTTGGGAAGAGTGTTGTTCAGATCTTGTGGAACCTTCTTAACTACGTGGGTTTTTTTTTCGAATAAAGCGTAATATTTGCGTTTAATATCTTTTATTTCAGCTTTTGAGCTGCTGAACCAGAAAACAGCTGAGTGCTTGGTGGTACTTTTGAGGTGTTGTGGAAAACAGGTCGAGGTATGTCTGTGTGAACAAAAAGCTGTTCGAGATTATTCACATATTAAGATTTGTTCCTGTCGACATCGTTACTTAATAATTATTTGTTGTGTCTTCATACCAAAGTGAGAGCAGGATGGTTGATTTTCTTTAGGAACAATTGAAAGAGCTGCAAGGCGTGGGACACAAAGAAGTTGAAGAATGTGTGGAGAAAGTCCTCCAAGAAACCGGATGTGCAACAAACACGTCAGTACAATCAGCTCATCAGATGTACAATGTCACGTGACAACAATTTGTATGAGGAACATCAGAGGAGATGTAAGGATACCACAAGCATAATGCTTTATTGTCCCGGGTGATGAGCTGTCGTGCATCCAATATCGAACGTCAAAACACAAAACTGTGCCGTTGGTTCTTTGTCAGATATGTAAAGAACTATTTACGACCTCTCCGGTTTGTAGAAAGAGCATCGTTTGAGAATAAGACAATTTGTCTATGGGAATTGTTTACCAGACGGTGAACCTTGAAGGATAACAAATTACTTGATGTAAGATTTTGTTCAGCAAGGAGTCAGCTGTTGTGGCTAACACAGACGAAACACATCAATCATATTCACGTCTGAAATGTCATCGAATTGTTCAGTTAATATTAGTTTAATGAAAAGCAAGGTGTCTGTAGATATTGTAGATAACAAAGGTATTAATCACCGACCCACAGAAACTTATTACATGTATTACCGATGAAAATATTCCCAAACACTGGCTTGAAATCACTTTTGGGATATTTCAACCTTGCCATACCTTGTGACAAGATGGACTTGTTTGTGTGTCAACGCAAAACTGTCACGTAAAGGAAAGGGGAACGTTTGATCCAAGTTTATGTAGCAGTTCAGCTTTTCAGGTTTGTATGCACGTGCTCACAAACTGTTTCCTTTTTTTAGAAATGTCAAATTTGCGGTGAAGTAACGCTCTGAATATCTTACAGTGAATATCCTACAGTGAATATCTTACAGTGAATATCTTACAGTGAATATCTTACAGTGAATATCTTACAGTGAATATCTTACAGTACTACAGTAGAAGTGGCACCGAGTCAAAAACTTACTGAAATGTAAGGGACGTCCAAATCTTTAGGCGCTCTGAGATAAACATCTCTCCTTATGAACGGGAAAAGAAATAATTGCAGTGCCCTATTGAAAATTCTCATGAGACTACCGTAAAAGCCCGTAAGATAATAATATCACTGAATGAAAAAAAAGTGGAGTGTTTCGTCACAATGCAAACCAAATGTGATCACCTCATAAATATTTTGATATTAGAGTTTAAGTACGCTAATAGTATCAGTACCATAAATCGTTAATATGTAGGAGAAAACCAAGATTCCAATGCAAGAAAGGATGAGAAGTCATCATTCGCTCTGTTGTCAGTACATGTAGTTATGTAGTTAAGGTTTAGTCGACAGATTTCAATAAAGTAACATTGGTGCAATATTACAAGATCAGATTGTCATTTGATTAAACTTTGTCAGAATTTTCTTGCTTTCAGCAGAATGTATATTAATTTTAAAATACAATTGGCATACTTTTTGTCTTCGTCATGATGAGAAGGCCGGGGAGAGGGGTGATGTTTTTAGTGGGATTTGACAGGACTATGAATGAGGTTTGTGGGCGCCATTTCCTTCATTAAACAACAAACCATCCATGAAATACTTCATTTGTATCCAGATTTATTTATCTATTGCTCTACTTAAAACCTTGTTTCAATGTCATCAAAGTAAAGATTTAATCAATACGAAGCCATTGTGTCATAGACCCAATCTAATAGGTATCTTATATTGGCGTACACACCAAAGTACCCTGGCTGTGCGCATTTGTGCCCCCAGCTTGTGGCACCCTCCAAGTGCCATTTACCGCCATATTTGCATACCAGTGGACCTCCACTGTCACCTTGGCACGTGTCTATCCCACCTTCATCATGACCTGCGCACAGCATGGAGTCGTGGATCTGCCTTGGATAACTTTTGACACAGCGCTCTTTGGAAACTAGTGGTACTTCAGCTTGCATGAGTTGACTGGCACTAGGTCCTCCAGAAGACAGGGAACCCCAGCCTGTGGTTGATAAAAGTTAAATAGCATGTAACTGAAAGAATACATGAAAAACAGCATTTCCCTTACTAAAATGATAAAGATTGCGCACTAAAATGGAATTGTTCCAAAGTTTCCGACAGGTGTTGCTGTGAATAAAAATTCCCACAAATTTGACCCCAAAATGTTTATAGTGAAATACCTGTGATCCAGCATGTCTTGCTACCGTCATCAATTGGTAGATCAACTGATGCGTCTGGTAGACAAGCGAGTCTCACAGCCCTGTTGATCTCCGCCGGTCTGCTAAGCTTCACCAACGCGATATCATGACTCATACCGAATGGTTTCTTGTACAAGCGATGCATTATAATCCTTTCAATCTCAATTTCTTGAGCTGTTGCATCATTTCCCTTTTTGTTATGAGCTCCCATTCTGTTAGGTTAAACAATTGGGAACTTGGTTTATTTCTTGGCGTGTGAATAAATAAAGTTAAACACTAGGAGGAACGGAAATCTTCATTCTCTTTTTATGTTGAGAATAGAGATACTGTATCAGGTCCTTGACCAGATCTAGCCTAAGCAGCCTGAGCCTATAATGAGCTTTAATGTTCAGCTTTAGATCACAAAACAAATTGAAAGAATCAGTCTATCGTAATCTCTCAGACTTCTTGTTCCAAATTACAGGGCCATCTATCTTGGATAATGACTGAGAAGATTCAGATTACCTGATCCTGAGATCCACAGCTCTCTTCCTTTTTACACAGTGTGCGGCGGTAAGAACCCATTGTGGAGCTATCAAGGTTCCTCCACAAAAACTTGCTCCTTTGTTATATGATGGACGATATTTGAGCATTGCTTGCCATGGCCAGTCGCCCGCACGGGCCTGGGTACCACCAACAATTCGTGACTCTGGTTTCATGCCGCATGAACCTGAACGTCGAAAGATTATTTTAAGATCAGTATTCAGGGGAGGAGAAATGAATATTTGTGAACCATCTCAAAGATAATCCCTCAACTTCTCGGTGATTATTCAAGAAGAGGCACTAAGTCTAAACAGACTGTAATTATTAGTCAGGTGATTGTCAGAGAACCTATCAGGAATCGACTTACGTCCGCTGCGGTTGTCTTTAACAAACGCTGCTTTGTAACAATCTTAGCCATGGCCGGGTTAACGTAAGACTTGACATAATCGACCAATCAGGTCGCATATATCTCCGTAATCACCTTTGTGTAAGGACCTGTAAGTATACTAATACGCAATAACGTTCTCCAATTAATTTCCCTAAAACGATTTTTGATCATATAATTCACGCCATCGATTACTATAGTTACTGGTAATTCTGTCAATATTCAGTTTTTCAAGCAAGACAAGCACAGATAAGCTTCTCAGAGAGGCCTTGATATGAACTCCACTCACCTGGGGAAGGGGGAGGTGCGGGTGGTCTTGATGGCTTTGGAGGCTCAAGTGGCCTTTGTGTCACAGGAGGCCTGGGACCTAACGATCAGAGAAAAAAGATCAGTAAAAGGCATGTTTAATCAAACAGTGTTTAAGATTACAGAAACGCTGATAGACATACAACAGAATCGCGGAAGATGCTACTTTGAGTCCTATTCAAGGAATGGACCTGCCAACTTTCGGATCTCTCGCTCTAGTGCTCTACCTCTGAGCTACATAAATGCAAGGGGTGTGATGTTCCCGGACCCATCTTAGCGGCTCCTGCGGCGTGATGTTCCCAGAACCATCTCAGCGGCTCTTGCTTACGATTCTCGATGAACTCTTTTTCAGCGCGAACTCCTCGCAAAATGTAGGAAACGATAGAGTTGGATGCCATTACTGGCAGGAATGTCAAAAGAGAGTGATTAAAAGCTGATATTTCTTCTTACCTCCGCACGAACCGCAACTCTTCTTACATTTGTATTTTACGAAGCTATTTGTTTCACACAGATTGCCTGGTCTGTTCATGTAGTCTTTGCAGTTTGGCCAGTGGTCGTAACACAAACCTGTCAAAGAGAGTGAGATATCACTCAAAGGTTACTTGCAGTCAAAAGTAGTCTGTTAACTTTTTTTTTTGACGTACGTAAATTTTACATGAGTATCAGAGCCTTTCGTTAAGTTCAGAGCAAGTTTCAGTTGATTCAAATTCCTGCGTCAAATTCCTATCATAATAATGGCTTCAGTAGTACACATGTTTACGGGTAATAGAATTGGCGAACTTAACAATATGGATAATATAAAAAAGAAGATAAATTGATACATGAAACGTAATTTATATTCCTATAAAGCTTGCTAAATTTACTACGTCAGATTAAAATTTTAGACTCTTATAAACTAGTTCAAACCGTAACTTGAATACAATTAATATCTTACAAACTAATAGTAAGTAAATTCGAGCTTATTTTGGAAATCCTCTGTATGCCTCCAACATTAAGAAATTAAACAATTTGCCGAGGGTTAGACAATCTCAAACAACAGAGCTAAGGGTGATTATATCCTTGAACATGAGTTAAGATACCACACCTAAAACGTTTATAGTTCATCCTCTATTTAAAACTGAGGAACATTGTTTGTCTCTGTGGCATCAAATTTCATCAATTCAATTCACTTAAGAACTTCCTACCATTTATTTCAGCCGACAAAATCACGAGAACAACGAAGAACTTCATGATACTGAGTTCACGGAAACAACTACATATGGAAATTAGGAAAGTAGGAGGTGAACTTTTAAGTTTTCAGATGAATGGCGGACAACTGAGAAAATATTTGTAGCTAAATTTGAGACCCTGTTAAAAAATCATTTTTGGCAATAAAGACTTGTTTGCATTTATTCATGGCAGAAACAGGACTTTTTTGGTAAAGAAAAAAGTTAGTTATACAAGTTTCAAAGTGTATGAAGTTTTCAAAGTTATCTTGGCTGAACAGCTTGGCAGATGTGCGTAAAAAAATCGCAAGTTGTCGACACTGTCAGCAATGTCTCGTATAACGAGAATAATCTCGGCAATGCAGCTGTTTTTAGGAAAGCTGTGTCAATCTTTAGCTGTATCAGCTCCATAAATCTTTGCACAAACAGAGTATTAACAGCTGAGGAAACTGTACTGAATGAACCTACAATTGTAATTTTGGTATTTTTGTAAGGAGAAAAAAAAAAAAAGAGGAAAAAAACCGACCATCAACCGGTCTATATCTCCACTGAAAAACTTATTGTAACCTAGAACAATAGTATCTGTTTACAACCTTGGGCCGGAGAAATGCACTGTAAGAGTGAATTGGCCGACGAAATACAGCAGAATGTTCCCGGCCAGAGCTCGAACCCGGGTCAGTCTTGATCTTAACTATAGACCAGGTTATCAATTGAAACCACAAATCGGTCAAGAACAAAACAAAACAGATTTACGAACGAGACTTGACTCTCCTTCCAAGTCATTATTTTCGTTACTTCTAGCATATTAGCTCGATTTGCCCCATTTTATCACTATCTTAATTTGGCATAAACTTTCTAGGCAGATCCTTTCCCCCGACTTGTAGCTTCCTCCAAGTACCACTGTCCTCCACAAAGACAAACCAAGGGCTACCCACCATCCTCCTGACAGGTATCTTCTCTCCCCCCTCCCTGATCAAAGCCAGAACACAGCATACAATCATGGATTAGTCCTTAGCGACTACAATCTCACTGTTGCCAGGAGACCACAGATATAGATACTTTTGTATTGTACTTGCGTGAGAGAACAGTAAGACTGAAGGCGACCCTAACTTGTTAGTGAAAAGACACGTAATATTTCAATGGTTGGAAAACATCGTAATTACGGCATTATTGAGATGAAAGTTGCTTCTTACTGTATAAAACTGGCTCAGTAAAATCATCTTTTTTTCCTACACGCCGATAGCCTACACGCTATCATTTGTTACTAATAATTATTTTAGGTCTGTTTCGATTCCAAGCTTATCGAATTTTTACTGAAACAACAACGAAAATGATAAAAATGTTGTAACTGTGCGTTTTTAGAAGAGTTTGACTTTTCGTTTTTGTTTTATTAAAAATTCAATAATTTTAAAAACGACATTTTTCGAGAGGATCCATTGCAGTTTTTAATCAATTGTATTTTATTGGCAGATTATCCCGTTAACTTGTGTACTTTGGAGGTGATATAATATTACTAAAGGTGTGTTAATACTTAATAGAAGTCCTTCTTAAAAGATATTGGTAAAAAAAAGTAACATTAGAAGAGTCATCTTGGTATTGTGAAATATTTATTATCTGGTTTGATCAACTCTAGTGTTCTGTCAAAAGTGTTGACAGCTTCAACTCGTCGTTTAACTTTGAGCAAAAAATACGAAACTAGGGCGAATAGCAAATGTAGAATGATATCGAAATCAAAGTCAAAGCGAATGTATAAGCTAAGTTTTACTCTGCGCTCATCTGCCGGCCTGTCATCCAACATTTCTTGTTCACGTCATCCATCGGCAAGTTTGGTGTCGATCCTTCCTCAGGCAGGCAGGCCACCCCCACATGATGATTCAGCTGGGCTGGTTTGTTCAATTTTTAGCAACGTAACCTAGTGACTTGAACCAAGTGGGTTCTTGTAATTCTGATGTAATCATATCTTTTCGACCTCGAGGTCCTGTGCATAGGGGTCCTTGCCATACCTTCCGTGAGCTCCCATCCTACAGTAAACTTCAGTTCAGCGCATCATTTTGACAGTCAAAGTTAATTCATTTAGTTCAAAGAAAATCTACCGTTAAATATTTTTGAACGCATGGTGTATGATATGGTAACGTTAAATATTTTTGTACGTATGGTGTATGATATTTTGAATCGAATCTGTTGAATGAGATTCTCTTACCCGAAAATCGATTTGCTCCCATCTCGATATCTGCCGATGGAAGAACGACAAATCTTGTTTGTTTTGATTAAGAAATATTGACACTGAACTTGAAGTTAATGCTGTGGGTGTTGGCTACTCTGTAGAAATGATTTTGAAATGAAATATTTGCCACGCCGGAAGTAGACCGGCCTCGAAGAAACTCAACAGTAGGAGTTGAGTCTGGGGACAACTTGCCATAATTAATGCTTGCATTAATTATGTCGGCTACACATATATGCAAGATGGCAGACCAGGAAGACGGCCTTTACTCCTCAGAATTTGATGACGAATTTAAAGACGACATTGCAGTTTCACTTTTGCCCAGGGAAGGTGACGAACCTGAGAGGAAAGGAATACTCCGATGCTCCAAACTTAACCCAAGAAGGGCAGCCATTATTGTTGCTGTTTCATTTGTGTTGCTTCTTGTTATTGTGCTTCTCGCTGTTTACGTTCGGTCGAGTTCAACCAACAAGGCGCTTGATCACCAGAAGAGCACTATTTCATTGAGGTTGCCAAGACATCTATTGCCGATAGAATATCATGTGTATTTACATCCTAATCTGACAACTTTTAAATTCTCTGGGAAAGTTGATATTTCTCTGTACTGCAATGAAGCCGCTAACAATATTACACTTCACGCTGGAGAGAAACTTAATTATTCTAATGTTCAAGTATCGTTTGTTCCAGACGGGGATGACAAGGAAAAATCAAAACTTATGGGAATTTCGAAAATCTCTCGACTTTCAGGTGAAATGATCTACATTAAACTGAATAGCAAAGTTGAACGAGGCAAGAATTACTATCTGTCCATCGAATTCCACTCTGAGTTGAATAGAGGTCTGTCTGGGTTTTACCTGAGCACATATAATTCCTCATCGGGCGAAGTAAGGTGAGAAATATCTACTAATTCTATCCTCAATTTATTTAGAATTAATCTTAATTTTGAATCGGGAACAGTCTTTTGTTCATGCACTCAGTCAGTTTTGAAATGCCCTTTTGGCAGGTAAAGTACGCATGTAGTTCGGCTCCATGCCGTAAAGAAATTTGCATACAGAATGTTTTTCTGTGTCCACTTATGAAATAGTTTGTCACGCAATCTTTTGTCTCAGAAGTGTGATATGATTGTTTCCGTGATAGGTGTAAATCTCGTTCGGTTGAAGGCCGTTTTCTAAGCGGAGAGGGGCGGACTAATACGTCGTTTCGAGCTTTAAAGCGTAAATAAGAGATTGAATAACGAAATGCGGACACAGTCACTGATGAGAAGTTTACTTGGTCGCAGTAACTGTGATTACACGGAAATGCCCCTTAGTTTCTGATGCTCTCAGGTTTGAGAATCACAGATCCCTCCCAAAGCGAAGAGAATGTATCCTGTCTACGGAGTCATGAGGAACAGCTGTTTTCACCAAGTTTCCCACGCTCTTATTCTGCACGGTAAACAACGAAAAGGTGATAATGATAGCTACGAGAAATAACCTTCTATTACTGATCTATTTTACTGCATTTAGATATCTTGCCACAACTCAGTTCGAAGCAACCGATGCAAGAAATGCCTTCCCTTGTTTTGATGAACCTAACATGAAAGCAAATTTCACCATTGTCATGACGCGAGAAAAACGCCATGTGGCCTTGGCAAACATGCCGCTGGATCACACTGAAGGGGTAAGTTTAGCTCTTTGATT